CGAGAGGGCCGCTCCCCGGCGCGCGCAGCGGCGGCGACCACGAGCGGCGCCTCGGGCGCCGCCGCGGTCAGTGAGGTCCCCAGGGGTGGCGGAATGAAGACCGCGGCGTCGGCCTCGGTGCCGCGCCGATGCCGGATGGGCGGACGACGACGACGACGACGACGACGATGACGACGACGACGACAATGACGACGACGACAATGACGACGACGACGACGACAATGACGACGACGTCGACGACGACGTTGACGACGAGGACAATGACGACGACGGCGACGCGGGGGACGCTGGCGAGAACGACGACGACGGCGAGGACGGCGGTGTGAACGACGCCAGTGCACAGCGGATCACAGTGGTAAGGGCCGCTGCAGCACCATCTGACGAGCGACGACCATACCCAGATCCACGGTCTGGAAACTGGGGCGCGATCCCGTGGATACGCGATCCTGTGTATACGTGCCGCTCGGAACATCCGAGCAGAACAGCCCAGTATCAATGCGGGTCGCGGACGGGGAGTCTAGACCACGAGACCACATTTCTGGCCTACGGCCAAAACCAATCGGCTCACTGTCGGCTCACGCTCATTCGGGAAAAGATGCGAATGAGGAGGACCAGGCTCCCCTCTGAACAACACTTGAGCCTTGGATCAGAAATGCACGGCTGCAGGAAGGTCAACCGCCTCAACGGGCAGAGGCACAGCTATTCTGAAACTGGACTTACGCCTATCAGGGAGCGCAGTTTTGGGAAGGCGCCCGAGAGCACCTGAGCCTCGCGCTCAAGGGGCCCTTGGATCATGGAACCGATCTTCTTGACCCCGCCCAACAACTGTACGTATCCCACAAGCGGCGCTCGGCTCTGGCTTCGGCATCGCCGTGCCGAGACCCGGTCGAGCGGACGACCGCTGCCCTCGGTTTCCACCACTAGTCCTGCCAGATCGGCCGACGCCCTGTGGCTGCTCTAGGAGGGCCTGCCGCGCGACATGGCCCCGATGCTCGCCTTCCGAACCGCCCAAGATGCGAATGTAACCTCAGAGGGTCTTTCACCTCCTGGCCCCCAAGAATTGGAAGCTATGTTTTTACGTTTGCGTGGAAATACTGACAGGCTGGGATCCCCCCCACAAAATAGCCTGGCGAACGACCCAGCCAGGTGCAGTTGTGAGTGCCGCAGTTGTGAGGATTGTCGTCAGTGGAACTCCCTATGGCGCCACAACACGTGTGAGCGGCGTGCCGATTTGGGGAGGTGGGCGGGTGCATGTGAACCCTCCCACTGGGACCTTCGCTGGGGCCCCCTTTATAGGGCCACGAAACGTGTGAGGGGTGCGTCGAAACGGACGTGACGCCCACATGCGAACGGCGCCACTGGGACACTCGCTGGAGCGCCCTACGGGGCCACGAAACGCGTGAGGTGTGTGCCGAAACGGGCGTAACGCCCACATGCAAATGCAAACTGCAGCAATGAGACCTCCGGTGGAGCTCCCGAGGCCACGGAACGTGTGAGGGGTGCGCCGAAACGGGCGTGACGCCCCCATGCGAACTGCGCCACTGGGACCTTCGGCGGAGCTCCCTATGGGGCCACGAAGCGTGTAAGGGGTGTGCCAAAACGGACGTGGCGCCCACTTGCGAACTGCACCACTGGGACCTTGGGTTGAGCCCCACATGGGGACCACGAAACGTATGAGGGGTGTGCCGAAACGGGCGTGACGCCCACATGCGAACTGCACCACTGGGACCTTCGGTGGAGCTCCTGACGGGGCCACGAAACGTAGGAGGGGTGTACCGAAACAGGCGTGACGCCCACATGCGAACTGCACCACGGAGACCTTCGGTGGAGCTGCCTATGGGACCACGAAACATGGAGGGGTGTGCCGAAACGGGCGCGACGCCCACATGCGAACTGCACTACTGGGACATTTGGTGGAGCCCCCTAGGGCCACGAAACGTTTTAGGGGTGTGTCGAAACGGGCGTGACGCCCACATGCGAACTGCACCACTGGGACCGTCGGTGGAGCTCCGTATGTGGCCACGAAACGTGTGAGGGGTGTGCTGAAACGGGGGCCACGAAACGTGTGAAGGGTGTGCTGAAACAGAGACCATGCGGGGATGGCAGGAGGGATGAGAGGGAGAAGAAGAAGGAAGGAAGGAACGCGGGGCGCTGTCTCTTCAAAACGAGGACCCAACACAACAGGATAGTTGGGGAAATCTGGGAACATTGTTCTTCCCCGGCGGCGGTCAGGATCCCTGATGGTGATGCTCATGAAGAGGGGAAGGGCGAGGAGGGGAAGGACGAATTTACATTAAGCTCGTCCTTCCCCTCCTCGTCCTTCCCCTCCTCGTCCACCCCCCTAGGCTCTCGGCTGGCGATTACAATGTTGAGTTGCCAACAGAGAGCTTAAGGGGGGAGCCCCAGCAACATTGAAGACCCTCCCGGGCTACAGCGCCGTCGTGATCGTCCGCGACGGTTCCAGTGCCTCGACCACCCTCCCCCTACCCTGGCACGCCCACGATTCGGGCAGCTTCGAGGGCATTGTCCTGGTAGTTGCGCCCGTGGTCGCAAGCTAGTCGTGTATGTGGAAGTGGAGCGGCAGTGCGAGGGTGAATAATACGAACGTGCTAAATCCGCCATTGGCGTGATCGCTTGCAAACCCACTTTTGCTACGGGTAAGTCCTCATCATCCACCCGTGTTGTCCGCGGGCGCCTGATGGTCAAGGGCCAACTCGCAAACATGCTGCTGCCACTCAGCTATCACGCTGGAGGATGCTGCGCAGCGCGGTGCGTAACACCCCAACGCCAGGCGCCACACGTGCATGGCGTCGTCCAGCACAGCGCATCCTGCGTGACAGCATGAGAGCCTGACCGCCGGCACAGAAACACTCGAGCATACATGGGCGGCACCACGACGAGGACGACGACGAGGGCGCCGCCGCCGACGACGACGACGATGAGAAGACCCACAACGGTGACGACGACCACGGTAAGTGGATGAGGCAGAGGGTGAGGAAGTGGAAAAGTGAGGGGGCGAAGGAGGCGAAGGGCGGCCGACGTTTCCCGCCAGACGAGGCACGCGCAACCACACAATGCCCACAGGTGCCCACCCTGCGCACGGCCACCGAGGCCGCCATGCACAACTGTTTGACCGGCAGAACGGGAGACGGGTGCGTTCGCCGACGCCCGGCGCGGAGCCCCCCAAATCGCCCGGGGGGCGGCGCGGCGCCATCCACACTCGGCTGCCGCTTGCAGCGACATGGCTGGCGGGCGACGCGAGCGGGCCGACGTCCCGCTGCCCCGCACGCCGCTGCGCCAGCCTGGCCTCTCGCTCGGCGCCCGGGGAGGACGCCTGACTGAAGGCCTCGATGCCTCCTCCTCTCGGCGCTCGGCGAGGCCGGACTCGCCGCCAGGACGGATCGGCCGGAGAGCCAATCCTGTCCCCTTCTCCTCTTGCTGGTGTTTTTAGGCCGTGGCTCGCCTGTGAGAGCAGCCATCACGACCGAAACTCCCAGGTCAAGAAGAACCTGGCCGCCTTCGCTGGGCCCTGTGGCGCGCTCGCAGAGGCACCGGCAGGGGCTGGAGGGTCGCGCCGCCTCGCCGATGCATCGGCGCCGTCGGCGTGGACAGCATCGGGCTCTTCATCGAGCCGCATCGAGGCCTCGATTGGTGTGCTCGGTCGCTCGCCCTTGGGGCCCCCTCGGGCGCTGGGCTGCCTGCGCGGCGGCGCTGGCTGCGCTCGCCGCCGACGGCTTTGACGCGCGCGGCGGTCGCCGCCGCGGCCGCCAGCGTGGGCGCGGGGAGGCAGGAGCGCAGCTCCGATCGGGGTTCGTGCCGGCCCGGGCTTCAGGCCATCCATGGGGGCGCCGCCTGGCGTGGGACGCGCTAGGACGCGCTAGTACAGCGTGCCTTGGAGACGCACGTCCGACCCGAACATGACATACGACATGTTGTGGCATGTCGTTGCCGGGGCGGCATGGCCAGAACGTGTCCGCCACAGAGCTCATACTAGAAGGCTCGCGTCGCCCTTGCGTGACCCACGCGCGTGTCGTAGAAGTACGGTTGGGCCGTGCCGATGGCGTTGGGCTGGCTGCAGACGCGGCACGCTGGAGGAGGCCGCCTGCCACTGAGGAGGCCTGCCTCCTCTCCCCCCCCCTCCTCCCCCCCCCCGAGGCTCGCCGCCGAACGCTGGCCCTCGGGAAACGGGCGGCCCTCGATCGGACGTCCAATCCCTTTTTTTTTTTTGAAATTTCGTGCGTGGCTTGTTTCGCCAAATGATCAAGGATGCCCCTCCATGGTCCTCGCCGAAGGAAAAATGCACACGTCCGAGCGATGGCAGGGCGTAGCCCGCTGCGCGGTCGCAGCCCTGGCCCCCTCCCGCCAGGGGGGGCGCGCCGCCAGGCTGTGGCGCTCCGCACGTCGGCTCCCTGCCTGCTGCGCGCTCTCCCGAACCATGCGCTCTGCACGTCGTGCTGCGGGCAGCGGTGAAGAACTCTGTCCGGGATGGCGCGTCGCCGCGGCGGCCCGGCGACACGCTGTGCCTTGCGAGCGGATATAAAAAGGGCCCCAGGACACACAAATAAATACACACACACACCAATTAAACGATTCCCCGCATTTTCCCATATTTCTGGGTTGCTGTCTTCCGCGCCACTTCCCATAGTTTCCCATATTTTCCTGGGCGTCGACGATTAATTGTGTCTGTGTGTTTTTCCCCTCCTGAGGATAGCGTGTCGCTCCGCTCCGCGGGGCGGGAGGCTCGGGAGAGCTCGGGACTCTGGCGCCTGGGCAAGAGGACGGGGGAAACTGTGGAAGAGGCACGGGCCGCCAAGGTGACACCAGCTGTGGTGGCAATACACGCCGTCGTTGCGGCGCCTGTCACTTGGAGCAGAGTGGTTCGATGTGCACAACAGTGTGCGACCTCGCGACAAGCGTCGAGGTCCGTTCGAAAAAGTGAACGGTGGTACACAATATCAATTACGCATGCACTTCCGCAGCGACGTGTCAATGCGGGACGCCGAGCAGAGTCAGCGGCACCATCGTGATCTCCTGGTCGGCGGCCGCGTACCCCTCGAGGAGCGCGCCTGTCAGCGTGCGGCCACCTGGTCCTGTTCACGTGCTGTCCGCCAGCGTCCGCCACGGCGTCGGAGGCATTCTGGATCTGGTGCTCCCACTCGCCTCCCTCCCGGCTGTAGCGTGTCGCTCCGAAGCGCGTCGCTCCGAAGCTCGGTGGGCCAGAGCCGGCGAAGCGACACGCTAAGCTGCAGTTGCTGGCCGTAGGGCTCCACGTCGGGCCCGAACTGCCTCTCGGTCCCCATCTGGGTCCGCCTTGGGCTGTGGAACGGGCTGGGGTCTGCGCTCTTGCCGTCCGTGCACCTGCAGCTCGTGGAGCGCCTCCGCCGTCGGGTTCGCCCATCGCGGCGGCGGGCTTGCTTTTTACTGCGGCAGGGGAGGGGGTGGAGAATGCGAGAGGGCCGTGGCACGCTTGTTCGAGCTGCGCTCGCCTCCCGCGTCAGGTCAGATCGGTGCCGGCGGAGGCCTGGCTCACAAGACCTCCTCGGCGCCCTCGGGGCACTTCCCCCGTCCCCTCCCCTTTTGCCACTTCGGGCCGTCATGGTGAGTGATTCGACTTGTCCCACCCTCCACTCTCCGCCTCCGATTCCGTCGACGATGCTTCTTCGGTGTCGAACCGCAGACATGGTGGCTTGGAGAGTCCCCAAGGTGTATCACCGCCCTTGCTGGTTGCTGTTTGGCTTGGGACTCGATCTCGAAGAGGCCTACGTGAAATATCGATCCGTGAGGTGAGGTATGGCGGTCCGAGAGCTCACATCGTCAAGGAGGATGCCGGAATTAGGTAGACACATGGGTCACCTTGAAGATCAGTACGGGGGGGGGGGAAATTAAGAGTGGCGCCTTCTTTTGCTCGTGCTTCATTCTGCGGTCGACGTCAGGGCCGCAGCGTAATCTCATCTGAAGCAGTGTCGATGCTGGGTGAAGTGACCTCTACGTGCTCGGCACACATGTCACGTGTAGGATTCGCGTCTATGTCCTCAGGATATCCACAGGCCGCGCAAGCCAGAAGGCCGCAATGCAGCAACTCCATCCTTGCGGAGCGGCGGTCTTCACATATCCACCGCCTCGGGGGCCGACGTCATGGGGTCCGAGCGGGCGGGGCAAAGAGGGTGCGAACACATATATGTGTATGCATGCGTGTATGCATGTACGTGTGTAAGTTTGCTTGTATGTATATAGGTTTGGATTCAAACATGCATGCAAGTGTAACTATGCATGCATCCATAGATGCACGTAACATCTGAATCTGTACACATGTATGTATATATGCATGCATGCATGCATGCATGCATGCATGTGTACATACATGTATACATGTATACGCATACATGTATATACATATATATATATGTGTCAGCAGGTATGTGTGTATGCATGGTTTTACATGCGTATGTACGTACTTGTGTACATAGGTATGTATGTGTGAACGGTTGCGTGTATGCATGCGTGTATAGGTGTATGCATGTGTGAAGGTATGTAACGCATGTGTGTAGACATGATTGGCTGTTTGTATGGGTGTATATATGCATGCATGTGTATGGATGTGTGTATGGAAGCAGTGTATGAATCACGTATGCACGTATGCATGTCTGTATGTACAGATGCATGCATACATGCATGCATGCATGCAGGTATGCGTGTACGTATGTATGCCCGTACGTATGCATGTACGGATGCAGACATGTTTGCTGATAGGTATTTACCTGTGGATGTATGCATACATGAATGTATGTGTGGCTGTATGTGAATGCTTGTCTGTATATGTTATGTATGTATGCATGTGTGTTTGTATTCCGCCTGCCAAGGGGCCCGAAGCTCGATACCCCAAGCGGTGGTTAGAGATCCATCCCTGCCTCGGATCCCCCCGCCCGATTCGCATCTTCCCCGCCACGGAGGATGGGATGGGAGGACGAGGGGGAGGAGGAGCTGTGGCGATGTGGCGAGAACGCGGCTCCCAGGTGCTGGCCTGGGCCAGCCTTGCGCAAGCAGCGAGGGCAGCGACTCCCCGACGTCGGCGGGGGCCCTCGCCCGAGGCGACGCATGGCCTCGGACCCTTCGCAGGTGGGCTGCTGCAACATTACTGAAGGGGCCCCAGGACACACACATAAATACACACAGATAAAACACACACCATATGTTCCTATATTTTCTATGGGTTTTGCCTTCCCCCCACTTCACATATTTTCCCATATTCTTGGGGATCGACGATTCATTGTGTCTGTGTGTTTCTTTCCCTCCTGAATTATCACTGGACCGTCTCCTGGCGCCCACAATGGAACACCCGCAGTAAGGGCCAAGCAGCACGCCACTGAAAATCCGGACCCGTGACGCCTGGAGGCCACAGCGCGACACGACGGGTCCTGTCAGTCGGCCCCATGAAATTTCCATGACGAAGGAACTTGCGGGCCACACGAGGGCCAGGCCAACACGAAGGAGGAAGAGGAGGAAGAGGAGGCAGGCGTACAACGACGAAGACGTCCACCCTACCCAGCGGACGCCTCCTCGGGCCTTGTCAGCCCGAGGTCGCGGCGAGCATCTCGAGCTGCGTCCAGAGATGACGAGGAAGAGGATGAGAAGGAGGAGGAGAAAGGAGAACGAGGAGGAGGAGGAAAAGGAGCAGGACGAGGCCGAGGAGGAGGACGAGCGCGCACACCCTGCGCGGCGGGCCGTCTGTCTCGGCGCGCCGCCCGAGCGCCCGCGCGGCGCGACGACCCCCGCCGCCCCGCCGCGGGCACGACACGCCCTCGCGGCACGACGCCGTCCGCCGCCGCCGCGCGGGCGAGCTCGGGCCTACGGCCGCAGCCGCCAGCCCCCCGCGGCGCACGCGCGGCACGGCGCTGGCCGCCGCCGCGCTGCGCCTGTGGCCGCGCGCCGCCCAGCGCCCACCCGCCGCCGTCCAGCTGGCCGAACGGCCGCAGCAGCGCCCGAGCTGGGCGGCACGCCGCCCTCGATCATCACGCCGCCGTCAGCGCCGCCTCCGCTGGGGCCGCCTCCCCGCGCGCCACCAGCGGGACGGGCTCGCCGATGAGGCGGCCCGTGAGCGGGTGCTTCCCCGCCTTCATCCTGTTCAGCCTTGTGCCCGCCGTGCTGTTGGCGACCTTCCCCAGGCACTTCTCCGCCAGCAGGATGGCCGCACCTCGTCCAGCCCTTGCCCCGCAGGAGCAGCAGAACACCACGTCGCCCATGGTCATCAAGCGGTGCGACGCGCCGGCCGCCAGCACAGCGGCAGGCGTCCCGCGGCACAGCCCCGCTTCCAGCTGGGCGCGGCCCCTGCAGCGCACCCCGCAGCGGTCGCATGCGAACGGCAATGCGCTGGTGCTGCCGACCCACTGCGCGCGGTGCCGCAGCGGCTGACCCTCCGCGCTGCCCACGCCGTCGGGCATGAAGAGCTGTGGCCCGCGCTCGCGCTGCATCATCGCCGCCACTCGGCGACCGACGCCGTCCTGGCTGGCGGTCCCGCCATTCGCCTGGCTGCTGCCCGCCTCCTGCGCTGCCCGCCGCGCCTCGGCCTCGCGGGGCCGCTTGTCGCCGCCTCGAGCCAGCGCGCCCTTCGCCGTGAAGAGCTGCTGCCTGCGGGGGGCCGCCTGTCTCCTGGGCGGCTGCACCAGCGGCGCGTCGTCGCTGTCCTCACCACCGTGGACGGCCTGCCTGCCGCTGTCCTGGCCGCTCTGCTGGGCGCCTAAAGCTGCCCAGCCGCCCTCTGGTGTCGGTGGCCCGCCACCGTCCGCCACGCCGTCGGGGTCGCCGCCGCATGCCTGCCTCGTCGCCAGCTGCTGGGCCCAGCGGGGCGGCGCATGGTCTGCTGCGACCCTGCCGCTTCCGCCACCACGCTCGCCAGGTCCTCGCCGTCGGGCTCGTCGTCGGAGCCTCCCGCCAGGCCAGTGCTCCAGCCTGCAGCCGCGAGCGCCGTCGCCGCCAGCACCGCAGGCCCGCGCTGGGGCGACTTGCCTCCGCTGGTGTCGCCATCGCGGTCGTCGTGAGCCGTGATCGGGATCGCGTCGACTCCTCTGGGCTCGGGCCTCGGCTGCCCGCGTGGCTGCGTACGGCGGCGCTCGGCACGCACCATGCCGCGCTGCTCCTCGTGCCGCGGGGCCCTCGTCGGCAGCTGCTTGCCCGTGGTGTCCCTCGGGCCGCCGTTGGCTAGCGCGCACACCTGGCCCACCCATCCCGCCGTGCGTCTCACTGCCTCCTGCTGTGAAGCGAAGCGCTCCGCCTCGACCTGAGAGCTGCATGGATGGCAGGCCGCTCCCATCTTGGCCTCGGAGTCGGCGGCTTCGTTGCCCAGCGCGAGGCGGCGCTCCACCGAGCCGTGGGCGAGCTGGGTGATGTCCTGATGAGCCTTGACCTTGCGGAACTGGAGCTGGTCCTGCCCGGCGTCCTGGATGAGCCGCCAGATCCTCCTCCACTGCTCGGCATAGGCCTTGCCAGGCGCGCAGCAAGCAACTGGCCCTGCGGCGATGCCGTCGAGCAGGTCCTGGTAGTCGCTGTAGACGGTGAACGGGGGAACGGCGTGCTGCAGCATGACCTCCACCGCGAAGAGCTCGCCCTCGCCCACCTCCTGCAGCCAGCCAGGAGACGGCCCGTGGCATGCTCCCGTGGCCCGCCCGAGGTGGTCCACTGACGCGCAGCCGAAGCCCACCCGCATGTCGTCTGGGCCTGCGAGGGAGCGTCCCGATCCGCCCACGAAGCCGTCGTCCATGAAGAAACCTCCTGGCACCTCTATGCTCCATACTGTGTGCCACGCTCGCGACGGCCTCGGCCCCGCGGCCCAGTTGGGCAGCAGGCGCCTGCCCCAGAACGCCTCCTGCAGCGCGGTGAGCGCGCCCTCGGGGAAGCGGACCTGGCCGATCTCGCTCTCCCTGCGCTCACGCGCCCACGCCACGCATGCACCGTGTCGGTGAGGGAGCGTGCCAGGGGCCTCGCCGCAGCGCTGGCACAGTGGGGAGTCGGCAAGGCCCTCGTCGTGCAGCTGCTGCTGGGGCCACTGCGCCCCAATGACGGTGGAGCGCAAGCCGCGCGCCTCCTGCTTCAGGCCGTGCTTCTCGAGGTTGCGGATGACCTCGCGCACTGGCTCCAGGTGGATGCCGTCCTTGAGGTGCTCCAGCCCCTCATGCACACTTATCTGAGCATACTGCCACTTCACAACGGCTGAATCTAGCAATCCCTTGATCGACCGTGGCCCCACGCCTTCGCTCAACTCCAGCTCCTCGCCGTCGTGGGAGATCCACCTGCTGGCGGAGACAACCTGCCAGCCTATCCTCCTGGCCGTGGCAAGCATCGCACCCGCTGGTCCGACCACGGCGGCTCATGGGTGCAGCTTGTTCCTCTGAGTCGCATCGGCTCGGTCCAGGGCTCCCTGGAGAATGTGGGTGGGGATGCGCTTGGTCCAGACCGCCTTCGCCCACTCCACCAGCGGCGCCGCGTTGACGGCGTAGGCTGGGTCCTGCTTGCCCCTCTCCAGTATGAAGGACAGCGTGAGCGAGCGCCTCGCCGTGTCGGTGAACATTGCTGCGCCGACCGCCGCCCTGATATTGTGCAACTGCGAGTCGCTGCGGCCGAGCAGGCTGGCGCCATGCGTCATGGCGGGCTGCGTGCCCATCTTGCCCACCTTGCCCGACTTGGCGCCCTGGCGCTTGAGGCACGTGACCCGTCCAAGGCGGCGCCGCTGCTTGTCGAAGTTCGCGCGCATGACCTTGGTGCGCCGCTTCGCCCCCACCATCGAGTCCACGCCCGGGTTGCGGTGGTGCTGTTTTACCTGGAGCCGCTGCGCCGTGTGCGTGTACACCCTGTCTGCGATCCACTTGCCAGCGTGCGCCGAGGTGATCACGATGGTGGACTTCGAGCCGTTGACCTCAAAGCCCAGCTTGCGGCGGAGCTCGGTAAGGTACTGCGAGCCGTCCGCCGCTACCTTGAGCAGGAAGCGCTGCGACCCGATGCAGAGGATGGTGATGTCATCGACGAAGGCGAACAGCTGGATGCACTGGTACCTGTCGCCAAAGAGCCGCAGGCTGCGGAACATGAGGACATCCAGCCATGATGTCGCGAAGCCGCAGCCCGCCAAGATGCTGCAGGCCAGCTCGGCCACGCACGAGACCGCGTCGTCTACCTTGCACCGCCGTGGGCCTGCGTAGATGCTGATGCTAGCGCGTAGCAGCACCAGGTTGGCGCCACTCGCGCAGCCCTCGTCCCAGAGCGTCTGGTGGCCCACTCTCTCGTAGGCCTTGGTCATGTCGGGCTGGTTCGAGGCCGTGACCATGCCTACCTTGAGGGCCCACTCCTGGTAGACGGCCTGACCCCAGACGGCCCTCTCGGCCGTCCTGCCGCTCGCGTTGTGGAAGCACGGCAGGTCGTGCTCGTCCTCCCACTGCTGCATCTGTGTCCGCCGCACCTTTGTCCATATCCGAAGGAATCCGCCTAGCAAGGCGATGGGTCTCACCCCGCCCTCCTTCTTGGCGAGGAAGACGATGATGGTGGTCAGCTGCTTCGGCTGGTTGCCGACCCTCTCCATGTACACCATGAGCTGGCCTAAGAACTCGAGCGCCTCGTTGGACAGCATCGCGAACCACCGTGGGTGGAACGCGTCGGAGCCCAAGGCCGTCCGATGCTTGAACTTCCTGCTCGCGGCCCTGATGGCTTCAACCGAGGGCGCGTCCATCACGTGGTGCTTGATCTCGCCCCAGCTGGTGTCCTTCATGGGCTCGCGGACGTTCCAGACCTGCTGGAGCCAGTCCGCGCAGAACTTGTCGGCGGCGTCCTGCACATCCGCTGCCGCGCCGTTGGCCAGCAGCCCTGGCCCCGCTCCCGTGGGCCCACGAGTCCACTTGTGGGCGAGGCCCGCCCCGTTCAACGTGGCCTGCTTCGCCCGGGCGTCGAACGATCGGCAGCGCGCTCTCTCAAAGTCTCTGGAGAGGCGCACGCTCACGCTCTGAGCCTGCTCCGCCAGCTCGGCCAGGTCGTCGATCGTGAGCTCGCGCAGCCGCTGCCAGTACGCCTCGAAGAAGTGCCAGTCCTGAGCCTTCTTGAGGGAGCCGTTCCAGTGCTCCAGTGTGCCGAGTAGCCGCTTCGCTGCCTGGCGGCGCCTCGGCTCGTCCCTCTCGTACGCGCGCTGGAGCTCAAGGAGTCGGTCGTGCAGCCACAGGGCCTGGCGCGCCTCGGGGGATGCCTTGGCCACCGCCGCGTTGTTCCGCCTCGTGGGATGTACCTTGATGAAGCGCGGCTCCAGCCCTCGCCCCGTGCACCTCGGCATGTCGTCCAGCGGGATGTGGAACAAGCTGCCCAGCTCCTCCTCAGCTCCCTTCATGAAGGCCGCGAACCCGTTCGCCAAGGCCTCCTGACAGCCCTCCGTCTCGCCCAGGGCCGCCACTGCCGCACCCCAGGATGCAACCGCCTCCCGACCAGGCCCGATGGGTGTAGTTGGGAAGCTGGCGGGGGACTTGTGGACCGTGATCATGTCCTCTATCGCACCGTTCTTCAGCCTGAGCCCAACTGGGCGGTGATCCTTGATGGTGGTGGTGTGAATCACGAAGCAGGACTCGACCCTCGGCACGAACGCCTTCGGCAGGACCCAGTAGTCCAGCACGGAGCCCTCCGCCAAGTCGCCGAGCGTTGCCTCCTGGGTGAAGATCGGCTCGGCCATCAGCTTCTCGAGGATCCCTGACTTGGCCAGCTCCGCGGGGTGCATGTTGAAGTCGCCGCCGATGATGAAAGGCCGAGCCAGGCGCTTCAGCTCGCGTGCGAGGAGGTTGACCAGGCGCCTGTTCCTGTCCGTCATGCCCTCGCTGTGGTGCGGGTAGACGTTGGCCACTACCACGCCTCCTGGAAGCCATCCTTTCCAACATCTCAGCTGTGCTCGGCCACGTGCGATGCTGAACATCGTGCTCACACATGGGTAGCTCGCCAGTCCTCGCCACGGCTGCGTTGCCATACACAAGCCGCCGCTGGTGCCTCCACGTCCTGTGGGTACTGCTGGGTCCAGCTGCAGGTTCCACTTGGCTCGCTTCGCCCAGTCCTCCTGAGTCGCGCACGCCTCGGCGCCGAACAGATGGGTCTCCTGGCCCAAGAAGATGTCCGCTCGGCGCCCCTCCACGTCCAGCAGCAGGTCGGTGAGGCTCGACCACGTGGTGCCGTTCGCCGTGATGGCTAGCGTGTGCTCTATCTTCGGTTTCTTCGGCTTGGCCGCCCTCCGCCGTGCAGCTCGGACGGTGAGCAGTGCGTGCCCCGAAGGGGTCGGTACCCTCTGCTGCGGGCTCCGCCACCTGCTTCGCCCTCGCAACCTCGGGCGCAGCCTTCCGCCGCTCCAGCGTGGCCGGGAGGATCGGGAGGGGGGCCGTGAGCACCCGCACCCTGCGGCGCTCCTCCTCCGACGCGACCTGCATGTCGAGCAGCCCGTCCTGCCCCACCTGCAGGAACGCGTTGCTGTAGTTGGCGTCCTTGATGAAGTGCTGGTCTGACCCGAGATCTTCGACCGCCAGGAGGCCGACCCGCTTGAGGTAGAGCACGATCTCGCCAATCAGCTCGAGCACCAGGTCCACGAACTGCGACGCCGTCCGTGCGCGCTGCTGGGCCGCGTGGGGCTCCTCGACGTGGCCCTTGACGAAGACCAGGCCTGCGGGCACCCCGGCGCCCTCCAGCATCTCGCAGGGCGGTGCTGCTTGGGCCCCATCACGCACCGGGGCTGGGGTGGCATTTAGGGCCGCAGCCCCGTCGTTATAGCCAGTCCCCACCTGGGCCCCAAACAGTGAGTGCCCTTGGTCAGGGGCTCCGACGGCAACCGATCCGTGATGCGCTGGCCCTGCACCTCGGGCTCCGCCAGAAGCTGCTGCGACGACAGAAGGCGCAAGAAGAGCAGGTGGTGCAGCTCTCCCAGGTCAGCCAGTGCCGCCTCGGCCTCCCCACGCGGCCGCGAGTCCACCTGTCCCGCGGGGCCGCGCGGGCGCGGGGCCCGCTGCCTCACGGGCCGCGGCTGCTCCAGCGTCTCGCTCTCCAGCGCAGCCAGCGCCGCCTCGGCCTCCAAGCGCGGCCGCGAGACCACCTGCCCTGCAGGGCCGCGCGGGCGCGGAGCCACCTGCTCCACGGGCCTCGCCTGCCCCAGCGCCACGGCATTCCAGTCACAGTCGACCTGGAGTGGGAGGGGGGACCCAGTGCCCCTTAGAGGGGACTTGAGCCCCCGCTCGATGGTGACTGCCGCGCTGCGGCTGCCTGCAGCTGTTGCCGCCTCGCCTAGGAGGTGACGGGCCGCTTCGTCCTCCGCCTCCCACGCGTCCTCCTGGACCAGGTCGGGCGCGACGACGGTGCTGTTGCTCTCGCTCAGGCTCGCCATGGTGACGAGGTCAGTACGGTTCAGCTCGCATGCGCGCTGCGGCCCCGATGAGCGGGCTAGCGGCAAGGCGAGAAGCAACAGCGCGCATCCCCTCCAAGTCCTTCGGCATGGCGGGCGCGAGGTCGGAGGGCCACAGCTTGTCGAGTTCGGCGCGCAGCGCCTCCTCTGATGCCTTGCCGATGGGATCTTCGGCGCTGGGCACGGCTTGGGCGGCTGCAGTGCTCGCCGCGCCCAGAGGGGGGGGGGGGCAGGGCGCTCCTTGGGCACCACCAGCTGCGGCAGCAACTCCTCCAGGAGCTTGGAAACCGCCTCGGCGTGGTCGCCGAAGCCGCGCTCCCCGCACTTGGCCACCAGCGCTTCCTTGTTGATGCCGAACGTGTGGGCGACCGCTCCCGTCTCGCTGCCACCGTCTGCGGCTGGGCCAGCCCGAGCAGCATCAGCAGCCACCAGCTCGTGCACCACGGCCTTGGCGCGGCCGAGCTCGGCCTCGCACTGCTCCCGCTGGGTCTTGAGCTCCTCCAGGCGACGCTGTGCTGCAGCGACAACCTCCACCTGCTCCGCCAGCTTGTCTGTGCCTTGGCCAGTGCAGCCTCCTTCCGCTTGACGTCCCGTCGGGCGATCTGGAGCTTGGCGTCCGCGGGCTTGGCGTCGTGCAGCTTCTTCCGCAGCTCGTCCAACTCCTTCTGGAAGGAGTCGATGACGCCCTTGTAGATGCCATCCATGTCGTCGCGGCCCTTGAGCAGCTTGATCTCGGCCGCCAGCTTGTCGGCGCGCTTCCGCACGGCGGCGGCGCCTGCAGCTGGGGCCTCGACTGCTGAGCCATCGACCTCCAAGTCGCCGTCCTGCGAGGACTTGCTGCGCAGCTCTTGTTCCAGCGCCGCGATCTTGTCTTCGTAGATATTCTTATACTTTGCCTCGGCACGCGTGTCCGCCACGCTGGGCGCGCGCGCCGAGGGGGCACCTCCACCAGCAGGTCGATTGCTGCCGACACAGGCGCCCTTGTGCAACTTGCATTTTGTACACCGTATCGACGAGCCTGGGTTCCACCAGCGTTCGCCTTTTGCATTCTTGCAGCCGTCCTTGCAGCAGAACCAGTCGGGTTTATCACGCACGTTGCCGCTGCCGACTGGACCGCCGCGTGGCGCCTTGCTGCCGCCGCCGCTGCCTGCAGCCCAAGGGGGCCGCCTGGTTGCCATCCTGCACTGCTCCCCAGCGCCGCCGCGGCAATCAAGTAGATTAAGCGGATGGCGCTCCCCCAGGAGCTCACAGTAAGACGGTAGGCTGGCCGCGGACTAGCGGTATCCTTTCTGCCTGGAGGCTCGCAGCCCCCCCAGTCAGACATTTTGAGCCAAAATGGCTACGGAGGAGGAGGACGAGGAGGAGGAGGAGGAGGAAGACGAGGAGGAGGAGGAGGAGGAGGAGGAGGAGGCCGTGGATCCCCCCCCCCCCGGTCCCATCCCCCTCCCTTCTCCATCCCCTGCCCTTGCCACGGGCGCCCGTCCTCGAGGGGCCGCTCCATCCTGCGCCCTAGCCGGCGCAGGAGCACCGCCCGGCGACGAGCGGAGGGGATACGCAGAAGGCACCCAGCACACCTCCATCGCGCCTTGGTCTCCTCCCTCCTCCTCCTCCTCCTCGTCCTCCTCCTCCTCCTCCACCTCCTCCTCCTCTTGAACCTCCTCCAATTCATCCTTTTCCTTTCTCTTGTCGTCTCTCACCCCCCGGTCTCTTTTCTGTTATTTTTTAACCAAAAAAATACCCTTGAGCGGACCTGAATCCTTCAAATGGCAGCGTCTCTGGGAAAATCACACGAAAGTGCAGACTGCAAAAGGATGTCTGTCCTTGCGGGCGCAAAGTATACGCCTGCCAAACTGCGGCAGAGGAGGAAGGAGGACAGTACCAAATAAGATAAGGGTAACGTAGTAATGGATGAACCGAACGCTAGTGACTTAAATGCGCATGCAAACTGCGAAACTGAAGGCGTGCGACAGGTGCAGCTACCAGAAAAAGCAGGCGACTGACGCAGTTACAGTTGGAAGGTGGCGGTCTGCAACTTGTGAGCTCCTACCGCCCCCACAATCCCCAATCCTCCAGAAAGCCGCCGTCGTACGTCCTTTTGGCTGATTCTGGACTGCCAAGCAAGTGCGTGCGCTAATGATCAGCTGTGTTAAAAGAAAGGTTGGCATACGCGATTGGCTGGCCTATGCGGTAAGCTGCTTTCTGGTAGCTGCGGCGAGCAATGTAAGCTAAACTTGTCTGAGTCTGGGCTGCCGAGCAAGTGAACTTGTGTACATTGCTGGTGATCCGCAGGGCTGAAAGAAAAGGCTTGCACATGCGAGCTGGCTGGTATACGGTAGAGATGCTGGCTGATAGCTGCGGTGACTCATGTAAACTAAGCTGGCAATGGCTGTGGCTATGTAGGCGGGCGCATGTCTGCCGTAAAGCTGGCTCAGACGGTACTGGCTGGCCTCAGGCGTTGCAATTCAAGTGAAACGTCTGGTTCTGCAATGGAGTGCTGGCTCAGTCGGTACTGGTTGGCCTTAAGTACTGCAACCAAAGTATTGTACTGATGATGATGCTGCGCGCTCGTTGCCTGGCAAGCTTCACGGAGATGGGGCCACTCTCTGTAGTCCAGGGGTGGTCCGATCTGCTGTTGTGTGCTCCAACTCCTCCTCCTCCGAAATATGTTTCTCAACCCTACCCATCCATCAAACATGGTCTTCACCGAAGGCCCTCAGCAGGCCGGATAGCATATGCACTTCTTGGACTATTACCCAAGGTTTCGTCGGTTCACCCCCAGCCTCCTCGGCCCGAAAGTTCTCGTGCTTTTCGTCTCGGTCCTCTTCCTGCTTCCCCTCCTCCTCCTCCTCCTCCTCCTCCTCCTCCTCCTCCTCCTCCATCTCGCCGTCTCTTCCTCCCCTCATCCTCCTTTTGTTGCTCTCTCCTCCTTCCTGCTGTTCCTCCTCCTGCTCCACTTCCTCCCTCCTCTTTCTTCTCCGCCCTCCTCTTTCGCCTCCTCCTTCTCCTCCTCCTCCTCCTCGGCTTCTCCCCCCCCCGTCCTTCACCCGTTTTCCTCCTCCTCCTGCTCCTGCTCCTGCTCCTCCTCTTGATCCTCCTTCCCCTTTCTCTGTGCATAACTCATCCCCGCCGCACCCCCTGACGTGTCGGCAGGGCGGGGCGGGCGTTTCGGCTGGGGCGTGCTCACCTTTTTTTATGCGCCCGGAGCCTGATGTTTGCAGCGGCTTCACGGATGGAGAGCGGGCCGTCTTCAAAATGGAGCTCTCGCCCTAGCGCTGCGCGCATGCGCCTGGAACGTCTGCAACAGCTCCACGGGTGGAAGGAGGGTAGTTTTCAAAATGGAGCTCTCGTTCTAGCGCCGCACACGTTAGTCTTACAATCCTTCAACAACTTCACTGGTGAAGGGCAGCCCCTTTTCAACATGTACCCCTCGCCATAGCACCGCGCGCATTCGCCATACATATTGCTCGAAGTTCACGGATGGAGTGCGCGCTGTGTTCAAAGTGCGGCTCTCGCCCCAATGCCGCGCACACTCGCCTTCGATGCCCCCGCGGGCTGTACGGATGGAGGAGAGGGGCATTTCCACATGTGGTTCAGGCCGTAGCGCCATACACATCCGTTTTGAAAGCCTGCGCCAATGTCACACATGTGGGGCGGGGGCGTTTTTTTTCTTCTGTAAAAATATGATTGCTTTTCAATATGAAAATAGGTGGCTCTGACCGTAGCGCGGCGCGCATGCGCTTCGAAAGTCCGCAACAGTATCACAGATGGAACGGGGGGGGGTCGCTTTCAAATGTGTGTGGTTTCGCATGTGCACCCGCGTCACGGCTGGACGGTATGTCCTCTTCAAAGCGGGGCCCTCGCGCTAGCCCGCGAACATGATTTTACCAAATCTTGCAAGTTGTTTTCCACGGCTTGAGCGCTGGTCGTTTTCAGAAGGGGGCTCTCGCCTCAGCGCCGCGCGCAATCGTTGTTGAACGCGGCATTTCGCAAGGTGCAGGCCCGCACTTCGCCACGTGCGCGTGACAGCCCCGAACCTCCAGCGAACGTTGCGCTGCACGGGTCCCATGGCTGCTCAATTTTCGGCATGGAGCTGTCGCTCGGGACTTCCGTGGAGGCCATGGCCACAAGTGTAAGCTTAGTTCAACAGTTGCACGGATGGACGGGGCGGTCACTGTGGTCCTCTTCGAGAGGGGGATGTCGCTGGACACCCCGTTGAACTGCATGGTCATCTCTCGTTATGCTTCTTACGCGCCAGAAAGATGCAAGGCAATTCCGTTTCAAAGCGGGGCCCTCGTGCAGACATGGCAGACCCAGCAGTGCTGGCCCTTCAAAAGGGGCACTGCTTGCAGTGAACAGACAAACTTTTAGGGGAGCACGAGGAGTGGACTGAAGACAGGAGGGTGTGTGGCAGCACCGATTTTGAATATTTGGTCTACGCTGGTCCTTCTCCTCCTCCTCCTGCCCCCTCCTGCCTGCTCCTGCCTCCTCCTGCCCCCTCCTCCTGCCTCCTGCCTCCTGCCTCCTGCCCCCTCCTGCTCCTCCTCCTCCTCCTCCTCCCCCTCCCCCTCCCCCTCCTCCTCCTCCTCCTGCCTCCTGCCTCCTGCCTCCTCCTGCCTCCTGCCTCCTCTCTCCTCCTCCTCCTCCTCCTCCTCCTCCTCCTCCTCCTCCTCCTCCTCCTCCTCCTCCTCCTCCTCCTCCTCCCCCTCCTCCTCCTCCTCCTCCTCCTCCTCCCCTCCTCCTCCTCCTCCTCCTCCTCCTCCTCCTCCTCCTCCTCCTCCTCCTCTGCCCCCGGCCCAATCTCAGCCTGGGTCCTGGGGATGGCGCGTGGACACGCCCGGCCTCGGCCACGAGGGCGTACGCACCACTCTGCGGCCCCCGAGTGGCACTGGCCAGGCACGGCGGAGGTGCGCAGACGCCTTCCGCAGGGGGTTGGGTAGGGGGGCGAGGGCGCGAAGGCTCGGACGCGCGGCGCAGCGGAGCCGCGGCAGGACGGGGAAAAGTCGAGGATGGAGGCTCGGGGACGCAAGGCCAGAGGCACAAGGCGCCGGCGAGGACTGCTGCGACACCATGCACGCCTGGAAGATAGGCCAGCAAAAACATTCCTCAAGAGCACGAGGCCGATCGTCGGCCAAAACAAGCAGAACATCCAGGGGTACCCTCCACCAGGATGCACAAGAGCATCCAACAAATGCAGCACGGGACAGGTACATGGGTCAACCAGTTAACTGCCCGAACACAACCCCCCACGCTGCTGTTCTGCACTACAGTGGAGGCCAGTCCACAAGACACCTGACACAAGAAACCCAACCCTGAGACCCCAAGACGTCCGTGCATGTTTGAGCCAAGAAACCCAGGGCACCCTGGAGGCAAGCAGGGTGTTTCTTGGCATTGGCCTCCACTGTATACTTCTTCACAGGTACTTTCACGCTCGGACGGGCAGCGGCTGTTGGGCAGGCGCGCATGGCGGGGCGAAGGGCGAGCACAGCTGCAGATGCTCTCATGCATGGCCCGTCGCGTCGTTCACATATCCTCCTGCATCAGCATGCTGTGACATGCTGCAACTCCCGCGGTGATGACGGCGATGGCAAAGATGACGATGGCGACGGCAACTGTGGTAATGATGGCGGCGGCGACGAGCACGACGAGATGAACCTAGCTACTCCTTCATGTCAGTGGCCAACACCGCAGAAAGCGACGGGAACGCGTGGGATGATCTCGACGTGTTGCCCCCGCCTTCGCAAGTTCCTCGCCACGGACGGACTCCCCCGAAGAGCTCGACGAAAACCAGTCCGTCGAGCCCCCGAGCCGCGCGGACTCCGAACACATCCTCCGTGCAACGCGCAAACTTTTCTACACACACACACACCCCAGATGCTTAATGGGCCCTGAAAACGACAAGACCGCTTTTTTACCGGTTCCGTTTTGCTGTTGTTTGACCGGTTGCGGCTCCCTTGTTTGACCGGTTCCGACGCAGTTTTTTTACCGGTTCCATCGCCGTTATTTGACCGGCTCTGGTTCCAATCCTGGAGCCGTTTTTCTGCCGTTTCTGGTCGCCCTTTTTTTGCCGCTTCCATTTTCAAGGGACATTTTTTCATTAGAAACGGTGGAAAAAAAACCCTGCCGTTTCCGGGGCCCACAAAAGCCCAGACGGAGGTGGTGCCGCAGCCCTCCCTGACGCGAGCGCCCGTCGCCTCGAGCCGCACGCGCGGGGTGCCCTCTCGACCCCGGGGCTGGCGCTGCCCTCGGTGCGTGGCCTCCGGGGGGGGCGCCCGCGGGGGCCAAGGCAACCGCGCAGGCTGGCGCTTCCGCGCCGCATGCACCGATCGGGCGGGCGCCACTCGGACGACGTCTTGCGCCGGCGGGCAGCCGCGGAGATCCGAGGAGTGGACCCGGACGCCCCGAACGGCCCCTCGGAGGCGCCGCAAACGCAGACGCTGCCAGGGGGCACCACGATGCGGTCTGACACTGCTGGGCCGCATGACGATGACGTCTGACCAGGTACGGCGTCATGGCCCAAACTCTGCCCCATCCGCGGGCCCGGAACATGTTTGAATCTCTTTGGATCGCTTGCAAAAGTAAAGGGCCCCACTGGTTCAAAAGATATACTCTGTTATCCTAAGACGTTGAGGCCAGACGATTTGGGTTTTGGGCTGAAATTCGGGAGTGGTCCTGGGGCGAAAAACGCGCCGTCCGGTCGACCAGCCCCCCCTCGGGAAACCAATGCACATTGCAGGGTGCGCCACGTATTCGTTACTGTCGATTGCAATGGGGGGGCCCCAACCTGGCGCGCTCAGATGCGAGCGCAATCACGCGATATGGGCGCTGGCGCGAGGTCAGGCTCATTCCATATGAAAGCTACCCGACTCTTGGGCCCAACACCATAAGGTCACTCTAGCGAAGGCTCTTACGTGTAGTCGACATTCGCTCGACTCCATCAACGAATGCGGGCGAAGAGTTGACACTTCCACACCACGTTGCCAGGGCGCGCTGGGGTAGTGTCACACTATGTGAGTTTGTTACTTCATCCACTACGCATTCATCCAGCAAGATCATCGTTCTGCGATATTGTGTGCCCAGGCTGAATCCAGCATCGCAAGGATGCCTGCCGTTTCATATACATAGAACGCGCGGTCCAGACAACTTGCGGATACAAGGAACACGGACGATGCTGAGACAAGCCTACTCGGGCCGCGTTGCAGGAAGAGACAGAGAGAGAGACAGAGAAAGAGAGAGATATGTAAAGAGAGTGAAAGGGAGAGAGAAAGAGTTAGAAGGAGAGAGAGAGAGAGAAAGAGAAACATCAAACAACAATGACTTACCAACAACAGCGAAATAGGGAAAGGGACAGAGAGCGAGATAACGCGCTATATTTATATATATATAGAAAGGGAGAGAGAGAGAGAGAGGGAGAGAGAGAGAGAGAGAAAGAAACAACAATATAAACAACAAGCTGGAGGAAACAGAAAGAGAGAGAGAGAGAGAGAGAGCGAGAGACAGATAGACAGAAGGAGTCATAGACAGGGGGGGGGGGTGGAAGACCGACGAAGGGCGAGGGGCGGTCCAGGGGCACACAGGGCGAGGCGCGAGAAGGACCCACTGGGCGAGGAGAGCCCCGGAGCCCGCGCAGGATTCCGCGGCGCGGTGCGAGCCGTGCTTTCGTTCGAGCGCCGCTGTGTGGCGCCACCGTGCTACGAGCCGCTGGTGGGGCCGTGTCTGCGCTTGCCGCTACAAAGGCGTTGAAAGGCGCGCAGGAGGCCGAGCAGCCTCCGCTCGAGATTCTGGCGTGCAGTCGCAGCTCGAAATGAGGGGACGTGCGCCCCTTCCCCCCCCCGCCCCTCTCGCTCCCTGCCCCGCTCCTCCCCGCGCCTCCCTCCCTCCTCCTCCCCCTCTTCCTCCTCGTCCTCGCCGTCTTCTCGCCCTGCCTCGTGCCCGTCTCAGGGCCAACAAGGCCCCATGCGGTATGAGAAAACACCAAGATGACACTTGCCACCCCGACGACCGTGTCAAAAACAAAGCTGTGGCAGTTGTATCGGGATGGCGAACGTGAGGCCTTGCAATACACAAAAGCAGAGCAAATGACACGTGTCACACCGAGAACCCTGTGGCAAATCCCAACTGCGTCACTTGTACTCTGAAGGCCAACGTGCGTCCATGCAGAAAACACCACGCTGACACGTGTCACTTGCTTCATCTGTGTCCTGAGAGCCAACATGGGGCCATGCAGGGTGAGAGACAAGGAAGCAATCAGGCGACACGTGCCATCCCGAACACCGCGTGGGAAAACATAGGCTGCTCACCTGGCATTCTCAAGGCCCGCATGGGGCAGGTGAAAAGTGGCAGTCCGCAGGCCGTGGGAGAACAACCAAGTGTGTGTCAATCGTATGCTGTGGGTCAGCATGGGCAACATAAGAAAACACCGGGGTGACCCATGCCATCCCGAAAACCGCGTGTGAAAACCCCACTGCTTGGCTTGCATTCTGAGGGCAGGCACGGGCCCATGCAATATAAGAAAGCGCCAAGCTGCTACAGGTAACCCCGAAACCAGCGTGAGAGAATATAATTGTTCCACGCGTACCCCGAAATCAACCATGGTGCAATACGATATAAACAACTCACCATGATGATGTGCGTGCCCCCGAAAGCTATTTGAGAATACATAGTTGTTCCGCTCGTCTTCTGACGGCCAAGATGGGGCCGTGATACATAAGAAAGCATTAGGTGGTACGCGTCACCATGAATTGAGGAAAACAACAACTTGCGTCAAATGCCATTCTGACGGCCAGCAGAGGGCCACGTAAGATAAAAGAACACCAAAGTGGCACGTGTCACCCCAAGAACCGTGTCAGAAAGCACATGCTTCACTTGCAGGCTGAAGGCCAGCCTGAGGCCATGCACTATGAGAAAGCATCTCTCGTGGTCACAGGAGCCTGCGCACTTAGATCGGAATCGGAGGAAGAGACGATGAGGAGAATCGCGCACGCAAGTAGAGTGTCCCAGTAAGACGAAACTCCTCACTCGTCGACCGAAGCGCGCTATGGATCGGCACGCGTAAAAATGGAGACACGTTTAGCAGTACACGCGAGCGCTTATACAAGTGGCACGTGTGTGCCCAGGCTCACACAACAAAAACTAAAGGGGCGTTTGAAGCAGGAGTGAAATGCGACACCGAAGTCGCACTCGACCGCAAGTGGGGTTGCCACACCTTGCGATGTGTGTACCAGGGCCCCCCAGGAAGCCTCAGGAGGCCCGACTTGGATACCAGAAGAGGCTCCAGGAGGCCCCAGGATTGTGAGTGTTGTGTTGGTGTGTGTGTGTGATGTGTGCTCTGTGTTGTGCGTGCTTTTTGTGCGGTGTAGGTGTTGTGTGTGTTATGTTTGTCTAGCGTGTGATGTGTTGGGCGTGATGTGTGTCTCTGTGTGTGCATGTAGTTCTGAGGCCCCAGGAGGCCCCAGGCGGCCTCAGGAGGCCCCAGGAGACCCCATGAGGCTTCAGGAGGCTTCAGGCCCCAAGAGGCTCCAGGAGGCCGCAGGAGGCCCCAGGAGGCTTCAGGAGACCCCCAGGAGGCTCCGAGGCGGGGTCTGGGGTACCAGAAGGTTCAGAAAGCCCCAGGAGGCCCCAGGAGGTTCCAGGAGGCCCCCAGGAGGCTCCGAGGCGGGGTCTGGGGCACCAGAGGGTACGTCGGGGCTTGGGAGGATGTTTCAGGCGAAACCGCCATTCTCTGAGAATCGGGGTCAAAATTATTAAACTTACAATGTGTGTTTGAAGGTGTTATGTTAAAATGTTGAAATTCCCATATGTTTTCGGACCCTGACGTCACGATCTGCATGAGGGGTGCCACCGATTTTCAGAAGTTCGAGGATGTCCCTAACGAAACGGCCAGAAATAATCGCGGACGCGGCGCCCCGCGTACGCATTAATCGCCTCTGAGCTCTACTCCCTCGTGGAGGTGCGTGTGAGAATATATATATATATATGTACACATATATATATATATACATACACGTATACACAGATGGGGGTCATCACTGTTCCTAACCATTTCTAGACACTCGACTCCCCAGCCCGCATGTTGGGTGAGTGTTGGGCCTTCGGGTTGGGAGGGGGTGGTTTGGTAAGTATGGTTGATCCTTCTGCTCCCCATCCTTGTCCAGCTGCTCCCATCCCAAGCCCCTCCTCCTTATAGAGAACCCACTCCTGTCGCAAGACAAGACGAGTGCGTAGGCCAGGCCAGGTAGACTTCGCCTCAGAAATTAATACACATTACAACGCTAAAGCCAGAACAATCCGACCATTACACGGATAAGGGAGACGTGGTTTTCAAAGCGCCGCGCGCATGTGTTTGGAAAGTTCCACCAGCTACAGGCATGGGAGGCCGATGAGTCTCGCGTCCGTGCCGCATACATTCGTTTGGAACGTGTCCAACAACTACAGGGATGGATGGAGGGCCGGCGGTTTTCAAAATGTAATTCCCGCCTCAGCGCTGCGCACATTCGTTTTGAATGGTTCCAACAGCTGCTGGGATGGAGGCGGGCTCGTTTTCAAAGTGCGGTTCGCGCTTGAGACGCGGAGGAGGCCCAGAATAGCGCGGGGAACAGGCCCAAGCGAACCTCTGCAGGTCTCACAACCTCCGAGGGACAGCCACGGTGTGCAGGTTCCCGTCCTGGAGGCCCACGCGACCCAGACCTCCTCGCGCTGTGGGAACATCACGACGGAAGATTTTTCCTGATTTTCGGCCTCTGGGGGCCGTTCCTGGGCCTCGGGGCCGTCAAAAAACAAATCTGGATGCAAAACCGGTCCCGGGGAAGGGGTCCAGACTTCTGGGGGTCGACATTGCGAAATAATCACGACCCCCCACTCGGGGGGGGGAAAGAGGCGCTGGCTACGTCAGTGGGTCGCCAGCGGAGGATCGAGAGTCGAAGATCGAGGATCGAGTTTCTTTGGGGGGGCGAGGATCGAAGCTCGAGCTCGGATGACCCATGTCTCCGTGCGTCTGTGGACCTATGTTGGGGCCTCTCAGAATCCGCTGGAGCCTCCAGGGGCTTCGGAGGACCTCCACGGACCTCTGATGGCTCTATAGGGGACAACCAGGGAGACCCATGCCTTTGGCGACTCCGGGACATCCGAAACAGCAACTTCTGCATCTTGTTCCCGCTTCTGAACCCATCCCCCTGCGCCTTCCCCAGCCTCCCCCTCCCTCCTCCGCATCTTTCCGACGCTGTGGTGCCCCCACCTGAGGGCAACACAGGGGACAACA